TATGATATGTGGATTATGTGCCAATAAAATGATTCTAAAAAGAATAAGTTGAAAGCGTGCATATTGTAATTCTTATTTTCAATGCTGCATCTGTTCAAGCTTTAAATTTCTCTCCCCCAGTTATTTATGGGGTCATATCGTGCAGGATACAGCTATGTGTGCCAGCGCGTGGATTATTCGGACAACGTTCATGAAGTCAGGGTGAGTGTGCTAACAACACTGTTCGTGATACGAAATGGACTTCACTTTCTAGGCGCCATTGTACGAATGCATACGTGTTCTTTCACGGCACTGAAATTATACTGGGTTGTTCAGAGCCAACAAAGCTGTGCTTTACTTTAAAAATATACGATTGAGAATCTGCTTTTATACTTCCGATATAATCTATCATTTTTCACTTGGGAAGTGTAAGCGAATGTGTGTTTGAATACTAGAATGAAGTCCTTTTTTCAAAAAGCAGGGGAGAAGTTGTGTATGGAGTTATTTTAGATGTTTTGTTTTGTTTTTTTTAAGAATAGAAACCTATAAAGAGGGCCCAGTTCAAGGAATGGTAAATGGGTATGCACTGTATAATCTGTAGTCAGTTAAAGATAGCAAACTTTGTGTAGGCCTGAACTCAGAGTTTAAGTGCTTATGAGATTCTCTTGACGTGTATATATAAAATGCAAAATAGAATGCTAGTAGCATCCTTTGGAAAAAATAGCTCTCTGACAAGAGCTAGCCAATATAAATGACAGTATTCATAAGATTCAAGATAGAATTGCTTGAATAGATGTAATATTCTGTGTCCAGAGCTTCAATCCTTATTCGAAGAATTTCGTGCTGATGAAAAGCCACCCCTTTGGTTATCATATTGTTCTCCCTCTTCACCAGTTGTGGCTAAAGCCTCTTCTGTATGCCGGCTCTGAGAGTCACTAGAGACACCAGTGAAAAGACAGAGCTCCTCCCAGCCTTCATGGGCCTATGTTCTTGTGGGAAGGGGAGGAGTAGCCCATAGTCACATGGCAGATGGTGAAGAAGAAAATAGAAGCTGTGCTGTGATGGAGAGCCGGAGCCCTGGTGGCCCAGAGGTTATGGGTTGGGCTGCAATCTGCAGTTCAAAACCACCAGCCGCTTCTAGGGAGAAAGATGGGGCGTTCTGTTCCTTGAACAGTTACAGTCTCAGAAACTCACAGGGACAGTTTGCCCCTGCCCTACGGGGGCCTTAATGAGTCAGAATTGAGTCATGACCGTGAGTTTTGGGTTGAGTGAGTGAGAGAACAGGAGAGTACTTTGTTACTTAAATTGGTTGATGAGAAAATTTTTTCTCCTAATAATCTGTGTTGCCAGAGAACCTCATCAATGCAGAGCTGACTTCTGTGGTCTTGCCTGATTTAAGGGAGAAGGGCTTGCTTTCAGGAAGGCATGTGCTTAGAGAAACGTCTACCCTCAGTTACAATGATAAATTATTATTATTATTATTATTATTATTATTATTATTATTTTGGATAAAGACTTAAAAATAACACCCAAGTCTGTGTGACCTGGAACTCAGCAGCACTGCTTTCTTTCGGTACCACTCTCAAGGAGCCCTGGCGGGCAGTGGTTACGAGGTAGGCTGTTCAATCTGAGTCGGAGTCGAATCCGTGGCAGTGAGTTTGGTTTGGTCATACTACTCTTCATTGTGAACCTGCTTCCATGATCCAGCTAAACTACCAATTCTTGAAAAAAAAAAAATTAGGTCCCGTGAGTGCTATATGCTAGGACAAGAAAGAGCCTACAAATTGCAACAGATCATGACGGAAATCATTTGTTGTCTCATTTCCCCAACTCTGCTTCTTCACCACCCCTCACTCAGGGTACATCTGTCCACTCAGACTGCACTCCCTTTGGAGCAGGTCAGCCAAGTAGGCTGTTACACATCTGGTGAATTGCACCCCTAATGGTGCTGATCAACTAGGATTTGTAAGTTTAGCTGGCGGATTTATAATTTTGTCCTTATGAGCAAGATGGAGACTTTTGAAACATCATCATCTAATTGTTAAAGAGATTATGCTATTGCATAATTGTTACTTATTGGTAAACCAAGTCACAAAGGATGCCTTTTATAGACATTTGTGTGCATGATCTCATTTTCTCATGTTTTAATTACAAATCAATAATGCCTCCATTATGTTCAAATATTTTTCTCATTCTAAGTAAGATGTTATCTTACTAATAGATTTTAAATACCTTATCAGATTTTAAACCTATCAAAATCAATTAGCAAATATTAATAATGGATATTATTTACCCTGTAATGTGCATGGAATCCCGCCCCCTCTTTTTCCATCAAAATCTCCCAACAAACCCAAAGCTCCATTTTACTGAATGAAAATTAACCAGAAACTATTTAAAGTAAAAGGATAGGAATAAGGCATGTCAGAAGTTCATTCCCTCTCAACTCTTATGATACAGTAAGAACGAATAGTTCTAGAATATTTCTTTATAGTTATTTTCATTTTAATAGGGTGCCTAAAATTAGAAAATAAAGATTTTTATAAAACATACACAATCAGTGTACTATGCACTCATAACTAATAAACAGTAGTACTATTTAATTTTTTTCAGGATAGTTCCTTATAAGAAGTGGAAGTGTTCATGATATCATGAAGTGTTCAGCTTCAGAATAGAAATTTAGTTTTTCAAAGTGCTAATAATTATAATATTGCTTCGATGTGGTAGAATGAATATTGTGTGTCAGGAATCTTTTATTCTTAATTCATCCCCTGTATCATTTGTGACTTTAATGTATATAGCTCTTCAAGTATATATAATGTAGTTTCTAACATTAGGAAAATAATTTTAAGTTCTTATCTCTTTTGTCCAAGACCTTATCTGTCATTTCTTGATAACATTTATTATCCTAAAATGGTTATTTTTAAGTAGTATAATAGTAGTTAAAAATAAATGCATTGCTGTGAGTAGCGAACTATTTTATATCTGTTGTCATTTATTACTTGCAACAATATTATTCAAGTAAATAATTCTCAACTTTTTCTCGTTCCTCTTTACCCACACTTTAAAATGACAATCTTGTTTAAAGCAACAGCAAGCAGAGCAAAAGGAAAACTCACGACATCCCACAGATGTAGACAGAAAATAAGGAAGGCCTTTTTTAGCCCTTAAACACCTAAGCCTGCCTTTGAATGAATCTGTGTCAAGCTCCTGGCACACAAAGATGTATAAAGAGATTTCTGTAATTCTACTCATTTGTTATTTGTTTGAGCCCGGGGGGTTGTCATATAAAACACTGGGTATTAAAAAAAATAAGTTTAGGTTACTGTTAATAGTAGGATTCTTGCAAAATACTTTACAACTTATCTACAGAGGTCACCTCTCCTGGACTCCTAATCTCAGAATGCAGTGTAATCTTTCTTACCATCTGGTGTCTTAATTAGAGCCCAGGCAAAGAAAAGACTTAGGCAGGTAAGCAGGATCATATTTATGACCTGGGAATAACCAAACCGGACTCACTGCCGTCGAGTCGATACAGCCTCATAGCTACCCGACAGGGTAGAACTGCCCCTGTAGATTTCCAAGACCAGCTCTTTACAGGAGTAGAAAGCCTCATCTTTCTCCCTTGACCTAGGAATAGCAAATATTTATTATTTTTGTTCATTTGTTTTAATTTATCATCTTAAAAATTGTACCACCTAATACAAATTGCTGCTGTACTTAGCTTGCCGCATACTTTAAAGTGAGAAAGAGACAGACATTAACAGAGACCAGGTGCTTCACACATTTACCTAATATTGTATCTCCAGTATAATGTACACTAGGCATGAGCAGCTAAAGTGTTTTTATACAATAAACTTCTCAGTTTTCCACGAAATTGAAAGACATAACAATACGAATGTGTTTACAAATCTGTTTTTATGATTTTGAAATTATATAACCCCTAGCTATTAAATGGACTGAACATTTTCTCTGGATCATTGCCGCTGTGTAGATAAAGCTTTTTCTTTCCCATCTCTCCGTGCAGGTAGGTAATTGAGTTTCAAACCTACTTAGCCAGAAATGATTCCATTCTTTGCCTTGTACATTTTGTACAATAAAGATATTTTTAGAGTTATTTACAGTGTGTCAAAAACATATGAGAGTAGTCTGGTGCTTACAGGGTGCATTCTTTTCTTTCTCTTTACAGATAGCTGCTGCACTATGGTGGTACTTTGTATCTAAAGGAGTTGAATATTTGGACACAGTATTTTTTATCCTGAGGAAGAAAAACAACCAAGTCTCTTTCCTTCATGTGTATCATCACTGTACCATGTTTACATTGTGGTGGATTGGGATCAAGTGGGTGGCAGGGGGACAAGGTGAGCCCTTGCAGGACACACTTGCTTGCATTAAAATATGTAATAAACATATTGGGGAGAGTAATGGGACTCTAGGAATCTGACTTGGTCTGCCATTTAGCTTTTGTAGTTACCATACTGGTTCATTTCATCTATTTCCTTTTACATCTAAAGAAATGAAAACATTAGCTTTCCGCCTCTGACTCCCTCACTATTTAAAGATGTATCTCAGCAGTGGACAAAAATCAAATGTAAATAAGCGAGCAGTCTTGTGATGTGGAGCACTTCTGGTAATTCTGATCCCAGAGGATGCCAAGACACACCCCCTTCGTGTGAAGACTCCATTTTTAGTCCCAGCCCAGAGCCCCGTCCTCTGAAACAGGTCTCAGATGGCCCTGCAGGTCCTCCTTCAAAGGGGTCTTCCACAGCCCTGCGAATGCCACAGAGGGCCGACATTTACAGCATGGCCTACCTGGGCTCCCACTGTTTCCAGGTGCCGATAATTTGAGAATAATTCACAAGAGTGAGCCACAAAATTAAAAAAAAAATCTCACGGGAACCCATGGAACAAGTCATGTAGTATAATTCACCTTAATACATCCAGTGTCATATGGTAATTGGCCATTTAAGATTTCACACGAATAGATTACTATTCACTGCCATCGAGTCGATGCTGCCTCCGCGACCCTCTAGGAGAGAGCAGAGCTGCCCCTGTGAGTTTCCAAGCCTCTGACTTTTCACAGGAGTGCAATGTCCCTTGTGCTCCTGAGGGACAGACCGCAGTTCCGCACTGCACGCCTGGCAGAGGGCAGCCCACCCTGAGACCACTCTGCCCCCAGCGCTCCCGATAGACTATTCCCAGGACTCCAGTTCGAAAGTCGCACAGTTGAACTTATTTTAAAAAGAATGAGTAAATCTGAACTGACCTTTAAAATCACTGTATGATAAGGTTTATTTTTATTAAAACTGTATTTTGATATAACTCTCACTCAGGGAAAAAAAAAGAATGCCATTGATTTAGGCTGACTGGAATATCTGAGTAAATTTGTATATACTAAATGAATTATTCTAAAAAATAAAAATTAATTCAATTAAATAAAAAGCTAAACCAAGCCCATTACTGTCAAGTTGATTCTGACTCAGAATGGCCCTGTAGACTGGTTCAGAATGACCCCATAGGTTCGGGCTCAGAACGGCCCTATAGATACTGACTCAGAACGGCCCTATAGATTCTGGTTCAGAATGGCCCTATAGATTCTGACTCAGAATGGCTCTAGAGGATTTCGAGGGCTCTCCATCTCTAAGATGCACACGGTCACAACTGTCGCCATTGGAGCGACTGGTGTCTTCAAACCCCACCAGCCTTTCGGTTAGGATCAGTGTATGGAGTGCTAACATTTTAAACTAGTTAAAGACCTATTGTTGTTGTTGTTGTAAATATGTATATTGACTCAGCTAAAGGCAGTAATAGAATATTTACAAATCTACTTGGATCTTTATATGTGCCATGACATTCAAACCCGCCACCCCCATCCACACACACACACACACAATAGTAGAATGAAAGGCAATGTTGCAGTAGTTATATTATTAGCATCGACTTAAGCTCACTAGCATGTGCCCTTTAAAAACTTGAAGCTTGCCACCTTGCAGGTCCTTTGTGTTTGAAAAACACGTGCTCTTGTTTATATGATTGAAACATCTAAAGTTTTTGAAACACCTCACTTAGTCTCAAGAGAAGGTTTTTCCATTAGTACTAACTCCTTTATTCCATATCAATATTCAAGAGTAGATGTTGGAAAATTATGTACATTCATTTCTTTCAATCTGTAAGGTTTCGGGTTTCAAACATTTTTCTGTATTTTGCAATCATCTACAGCATTTTTTGGCGCTCAGCTGAATTCCTTTATCCACGTGATCATGTACTCGTACTATGGGTTGACTGCATTTGGCCCATGGATTCAGAAGTACCTCTGGTGGAAACGGTACCTGACCATGCTGCAGCTGGTGAGTTAAATACCTTTACAGTTTCTCCTGGGGAAACACTAAAAAGGCTTAGCTTTTAGCAACGGGAAATCTTAAGTCACTTTATATAATTTTCTGTAACACAATTAGCATTCTCTAGTAGTTTCTCTAGCTTCCACAGTTGAGGGTGCATCACAATATTAACCTACCTACTCCTGGGTCAGAGTGGTCAGAGCTACTTCCTTCGTTTGATGCCTGACTACACACAGCACTTATCCTTTCAAAGAGAAAAGACCTTTTCAGCGATCTGTGAAATGGATCATTCTCAAAGTACGCTACAAAGCACATAGATAGATCCATATAAAACTAGAGGGGGGAAATAGGTTTTTTACTCGGGTGATTTTTTTTTTTAATCCTAATTTTTTTTTTCTCAAGACCCTTTTATTGGGAGCTAATAGAGAGGTCATGTCATTCCATAGTTCAGTCACCTCAGGCAGTATTATATAATTGCTACCACACTCAGTTTCAAAATATTCTCTTCCTTCTTGAATTCCTTGATATCATCCCTTTACTCCACCCCCTTCACTGTACCTGCCCAGGGACCCTTATTCTGCTTGTTGTCGCTATAGATTCATATCCCAAACCCAGGAAAACATATCAGATAAACCCCAGTATGAATACAACAAACAAAACAAAAAGAAAAACCTAGAAAATGTTGAAAACCAGATCGGGCCCAATGTGTATCAGAGGGGGCGGGGGGGGGGGAACCAGCTGAGAAGGATTTAACTATTCGTCAGATGTATCATTTTGATCTCCTATAGTCATCTCCCCAATGCACTCTGTAACCTGTTTATTCCCATCCCTCCATTATGGACAGAGGGACATCACTGGAGGCTTGTTTTCTATGTGGATCCCATAAATCTATCCTGGGCTTCCACGGTCTCCGTAGGCTTCCGTAAACCAGAATCTCACAGCTTAGGCTCTGATAACTATTTCTTCCTTTGACTTCGGACTATATGATTTATGATCCTGGGTCACGGATGTTGGTGTGCTTCGTCCACATGAGTTGACATCGCACTTAGATGGCTGCTTGTTTCGAAGCAAGCCTTTAAAACACCAGGACGCTGTGCTATCTGCTTTCTGGGAGTCATCCAATTTCTTCACTACACTTTGCTGTATAGCACTCATGTCTTCTGTGTTCCCTTACTGAGCAAGGCCATTATGTAAAAACTCATTGTTCTTTTTTTTTAAACTAATGGTTCTTAAGGTGGAACTATAAATTCTAAAATTTATAGTTCTCTTCATCTTCTACTTGTTTAAATTTTTTGTGGTTTCATTTCTATTTTTCAGTCCTCAACAGGTTCTAAATGTTTATAATGTCAAAATTGAAAAGAAAGCACAGAGCCAAGTAGACAGTGATTTAAAGGGAGGGAAATGAGGATCAGAGAACTCTTCAATTTCCTAAACCCAGGCCTTCCAGAGCAGTTAGGAATTTGAAAATGCTTATATTCAGACCAGACCATCTTCAGCACATACTCCTTGTAGGGCTTCTTGTAGCACTTGGGTGTGTCAGTGTAACATTCAGAGATACGCAGGCACTAGCCTATAATCAAACTGAAAATCTAAAACCAACCTGGTAGCTATTCTTCAAGACTTGGAATTTAATTTACCTTAATCATAGCATGTACATAGCTTTATCAGTAGAATCACATTTGGAAATAATATCCATCTCTTGTTTTAAGTTGCTAAACAGCTGGCTAACCAAACAGGAGACACAACTTTTGTGGAATGCTGGGTGTGAAAGATTCATTTGTAACTAAGATGTTAGTGGACGCTTCCTTCACCTTTTTGTGCAAGTTGTTTATACAGTTGTGTAACTCATTTTTCCTGCGTCTTAGTAACTAACCACAAGGGAAGAGATGCCAGAAATTATGTGAACCATTTATATCTATTATTTTGTGAGCTTGTTCCTGGCTCTTCTTGAGCAGTTCCCTTACTCAATCATATTCTTTTTTATAATAAAGTGCATTCTATAAGAAACATTATGAAGCCAAAAAAAATTTAAAATCTGTATTTTGCCTTGGGAAATTAAAAAAATTACTTATCCTGATATAAATTTCTGACTTACATAGAATAAATTATTTAAAAAATAAAATTTAATATAGCAATTGATGTTGATAATACAATCCTCAAAGATAACTCAATTCTCTACAAGAATGATGTTTCTCTGGCGAGGAAGCCAACTAGTTGCCAATGGGCTGATTCTAACTCATGGTGACCACCCCCCAACCCGACTCCCACCCCAGGTGTATCAGAGTAAAACCACGCCCCCCAGGATTTTGAGCGGATGCTTGTTCAGAAGTAGACCAGTAGGTCTTTCTTCAGAAGTACAGGTGGTCTCCACCCTCCAGCTTTTACTTTCCCTTGGCCATCGTCAGAGAACACGTTCAATAAATATTAATGGTGGAGACTTGGGATGGGTCAGTGACCTCGACTAAGCCCTGTCCTCTGGTATTAACATTACACTGGAAAGATAGGTAGTAAACAAATATAAAAACGATTTCAGATAACCATGACTATTGCAAAGGACAAAAACCCACACAAATGTGCTTTGTTTCATTGGGATAAAGAGCGGGGCATTTGCGTGGAGCCTGCTGGTCAGGAAACCCTCGCCTGGGAGGTTGCCTTGGAACTGGGGACCCAGTGAGGAGGCTGGCGGGCCACGAGAGCCACTGTGAGGACTATGCAGCTTGGAGCAGTGTGGCACATTTGGGTTCTGTCGATGAGCAAATGCTTCTGCTGTTCTTACAGTTTCTTTGTATGTCGGTTAAGTGAACCCCGGTTGTTTTGTTTTTCAGGTTCAGTTCCATGTGACCATTGGACACACAGCATTGTCTCTGTGGAATGATTGCCCCTTCCCCAAATGGATGCACTGGGCTCTCATCGTCTATGCCATCAGCTTCATATTCCTCTTCCTCAACTTCTACGCTCGGACGTACAACATGCCTAAGAAATCAAAAACTGGAAAAACTGCCGTGAATGGTATTTCAGCAAATGGTGTGAACAAGTCAGAAAAACAGCTGGTGATGGAGAATGGGAAAAAGCAGAAGAATGGAAAAGCAAAAGGGGAGTAACTTGAAGGGGGCCTACCTGTTGCCGACAGTGAGGAATCTCCCATTTCATATGAAATTTCAGGGAAGACAGAAACAAATGAGGGCTTAGGGGTGGGGAGAAAAGGCAACTCTGCTCTTTGCGCTAGGGCCTGCAGAGTGAGGAAAGTGCTGGATACAATGGCCGGATGTTTTATTTATGAAGGTTTTATTTTTAATTTTTTTTTTATTTTATTTTATGATTTTAGCCTTGATGTTGTCCAGACCAAAGCAATCATCATGTGACTTTGGACACTTACCTTCTCTGGTCCCATCCATTTGTGTAATGGATGGGATTTTCCATGTGTTTTTAATACACACCCATTCTCCAGTCTGAATCTAGACGATCACAGAAACAGTCATTAAGAATATTTTTGACTAGATTACTCACTACCGATTAATTAAAATCAGTTATATTACATGTTCTGGTCCAGAGCGGGAAACACGTTCTTTAAAATGTATACTTTTGAATTCACTTGCTGGCCAGCATGGTTGACTCTCTCCACCTCTTGTCTGAATATACCCTATTGATTGTAATTGAAAACTTTTAAAATCTGCTCATCTCTGTAGATGCTTAGAGGTTTGATGATGATGGTATTGGTGAAAGTGAGGAACAGTAACAGTAAAGTCCCGTCTGGTGACCAAAGGTCACCACGACTCATGGCACAGATCACTGTGGGAAACAATTTTTATGATGAAATCTTGAGTAGCCTTGAGTACTCCTATTACTGTCAGAATGTATTATGAAAAGTCAGATTATTGTCTGATGGGAATATGAAACAGCTCCTGTCTCCATTGGTAACATCATAAAATAGTGACATCTATGTGCTGTTAGCAGAGAGTCTGTTGATTTTTATCAGGCTTTTCTCGTTTTGATTTGTGTCTGTTACTAAATTTTCATATGTGGAAATATACCTACCTCTTATGTTGGAAAAAGCAGTTACAATTAAATAAATTTTCATGTAAAAGAATCAAGGAGTCCTATAACATAAATTCCAGTTGTATTTGACTTGAATGCATTGGGGGCGGTCTGTTCCGCTTGGTCTCATTTTAAAAATAGCATACATCCAACTTTTCTGTGAAACCCTCCCTCCCTTTCAGTGCGGTTCATTTTGGAATGATACATTGTGACTGAGTTACAAGATCTTATTTATTAACTGGATATGAAGTGTAAACCCATTTTGGTGCAATATTCTTGACTCCTTGGTGCTAAAGATCATTGAATTCAGTGCTTGATGTTACAAGTTGTGAAAACATAGAAATGACTAAGAGTGAAAGCGGTCAGAATTATAAAATCTCTACAAATTTACAAATGAAGTATTTCATGTAGCACTTGTAATACGTATGAGGGAACAGCCAGGTAATCACTAAGGAAGAGAATTTGTACTGTGTTTTATTACATAGGATAACTTGCTAGAGGGTGCTGTCCAGGGATCATAATGGAAAGAGAAAATGTGACCCAAAAAGCATGAATATTTCTAACTTTTTCTTGACAACATGGTAAAAACTGCATGTGCAGGATATATGCTATTTGTGCAGACACTATTTCAAAATATTTTGTAAACTATAAAATATTTATTGTGCATTAAAACTAAACAACTTTTCCCCAAAGGCATGTAGCCGTAAGAACTGTACAAAAATTTGCAACGCATCCAGTAGGTTGGCATAAGAGGATCCACCACCTTTGTTTTGCGGCGTAGTGTATAATAACTAGAGATTTGTAAATCTTTGTGAACATTCTGTACTGGTTTCCCAGAACGATTCATCCCCTGCCACCTGATGCAGCACAATAAATATTCAACTGTTGTGGGAAAAAAAAAAGATTTTTTTTGATTAATTGGTTTCTTATTTAAATTGTCTGTTAGAAGTTTGTTTGAAGTGGTTGTTAAATAATTCTGACTTTCTGTTACCAATTTTCCTTTGTTGAAAAGACATGAAACTAGAATATGAGTTTTTATACTTTCCGGGGCAAAGCAGATTTTTGATGGTAGCACATTTTTACTTTGAAAACCAGTGGTCTTTGGAGCAGATTTGGGACTCAGACGTAACACAGACGTTTTCCTCTGTGGCATTCTTTACACGCGTCGCTTCAAATGTGCTTTTGAATGCCGCGCTTTTCCCCTTTTCCGCAGTGGTGGTGGTGGTGGTCCCCAAACGAAACTATGAGGCGGCGCACTGGTGTTCTTACATTTAGATCATTCAGTCCTTACTATGCTTTAAGGTTCTTTATCAAAGGTAGTTTTACGATGTGATAAAGACAGCCTTTCTTATCAGCACTCTGAATGTCCCAAACATTACATATTAAGTGCATGCTTCAGATAGAAATCAGTGGATGAGGGTTATTTTGAGTAAAGCTTTATAAGTCAAGTAATTTTTTCTTATTTATGAGTCAGGCAAGTCATTAAATATCTGCAACGATGAGAAATGCCTGAGACATACAGCAGTTCATTTTCCAATTTACTCGATGGTGGAGCTAGCTCACCTTCCATCTTTTCCTACCACTCGGAAGTCTGTTTTACAGGTGGAAACTAAACGATGATTAGGGTTAGTCTTAACGTTTTAATTCTCCTACTCTCTCTTCACACAATCTAGGCATTGAAATATTTTAATACACGGCATTCACATTTTAGAAGAGGAAATCCAGCAGTATTGGGTATTTGTTAGGGATAGTTCTAATACATGGTTTCTTCCAAATCTGCACATCGGTTACTCTGACGGAGAGTAACTGAGAATACCAGAAGGTGGAAATGAGTTTGCTACCTTACATCTATTTGCTCATATGACAATTCAGGCACCATCTAGCTACAACTAAAAGTGTGGCAAAACTTTTGACTACCATCCTCATTAGAATGTGACAGATCCCACTGAGCTGTTTACACGCTCTCCACTTGGTGCCTCGTGAAAAGCAGCTTGTTAACAGCCTTCATCTCCGGATCCGATGGGCACACACGATGGGATAGCAAGGGTCTTGCTATGACAGGCCTGGGTGGCTGAGATTTAAGTGTCCTGCTGGGTGGTAAATAGGGCAGGAGCGTTTGAGAGGAACCTTGGTGCTGAGCTCCGTAGAGGCACAGCACCAAATCAGAAACGGAAACCTCTTTAAGGAGCTGGGTCCCCCTGGCACTCAGCATGCGAGTGATTGTGACACGTGACCTTGGAAGGCAGTCCTTATTAATGGTATATCGTAGGATCATGTGTAGTCTTCTAGGTAGATAATTTCTGAGTCAGAAGAAACAAAAACTCGATGAAAAATGCCATAAATCACGGATTTTCCTAATTCCAAGTACAGAGGAAAGGTAACAGCTGTGTGGCTTGAATGTCACAGGATTTGTTTGTTGTTTTTTTTTAAGTAGACTGAAGGGATTTAAAGATCTGAATGGAAAATTATAATTGGTACATCTACTACCAGATGAGAAATACAGGATTCTATCTTGCAAAAAAAGAGCCCTGTGACTTATGAAGAAAGTGGTTCATAGCTGTTTTCAGAGGGTCAAATAAAAGACATTCTAGGTGGACAAGTGATGATTTGAGATACCTCTTGGTATCTTGCTATCTCTTACACTTACAGGCCTATTTTTTGCCACGACCTGTGAGAAATGAAACACTTTTTACCTGGTGGTTTTTAAAATACTTTTTACCTGGTGGTTTTTTGGGTTTTTTTGAGAGGAGGGGAATAATTTCCATGTTACTATAGAAAAGCATGCTTACTCATGAAAAAAAATTCCTTTGAATCTTTGCCCCTTGGAGAGCTGGTCTGAAATGCAGCTTAACAGACATTTATGAATTTGTCCATTCTCATTGGGGGAGGGTGTCTCAGTGAGGGCATCCTTTTGTCTTAGCCCCTTTGAGACTGCTTGCTGAACACACCGCTTGAAGCCTCTCCTGGATTGAATTGAGACACCTCATCACCAACCACTTACAAAAGATGGGTCAACTTAATGAGGCCATGATTATCAGTGGTTTGGCAGTTATTTAATGATGTAATAACCACCCCCCATGATCTGATCTGATGTTTTTAGCCAACTGGTTTTACGGAGAATAAGGTGGACCACAACACTCTTACACTCAGGTCACAGCACTGAACTGATGTGGAAGAGCTGCCCTGGGCTTTGAATTGCCTTTTATCGCAGAGAAACCGAAGCTGATTACCACCAAGAGAGAAGAGTCAGGAGGGAAGCATATTCTTTGGATTCAAGATCCCTAAGCTGAGACCTTCTTTTTTTAAATCATTTATTGGGGGCTCTTACAGCTCTTATCACAATTCATGCATATATTCATTGTGTAAAGCACATCTGTACATATGTTGCCATCACCATTTTATTTTTTTAAATCATTTTACTGGGGGTTCATACAGCTCTTATCCCAATACATCCATCCGTTATGTCAAGCACATTTGTGCATTTGTTGCCATCATCATTTTCAAAACATTTTCTTTCTGCTTGAGCCCTTGGTATTAGCTCCTTATTTCCCCTCCCTCCCTCGTGAACCCTTGATAATTGATAATGATTTTTTTTCATGTCTTACACTGACCGATGGAGACCTTCTTTAACTCGGGAAAGATGGATGTTAACACACGTGGAGATTTCCAAGGGTCTCCAGACCAACAAATGCTGAAAGGAAGCAAAGACCCTCCCCACAAAACCTAGCGCTGACTGAGAAAGCTGACGGTCTGAATTTAGAATTCCACCCTCCTTAAACTGGGAGGGGAAAACAATGCTGTTAAAGCCATGCATTTGTTGCATTGCTGTTATAGCAGCACTAGATTACTAAGACATTGCCCATCTAGCAAATTAAAATAGTCTAATGTGGCAATCTCTCATCGCACATCCTCTTGTGAATCTGGAGTGCATTTCTGGCAGACCTCTGTCAGTGTAATGTGACTAGCATTACTGGTTAATTCTCAACAAAATTTACTTAGGTGTGTTATTAATGATAATTTTTCTATAATTTTCATGTTTTTGGATGACTTTTCTTTGGAATCTGTACAAATACAGATCTCTTCCAGTCAGTTGGGCAACTAGCTGTCTTCCAAATTTTTGGCATAGACTAGGGAGTTCTTCCAGTACTTCATCAGCTTGTCGAAACATTTTTTAAAAGTCATTTTATTGGGGGCTCATGCACCTCTTATCACAATCCATCCATCCATCCATTGTGTTAAGCACATTTGTACATGCTGCCATCATTTTCAAAACATTTTCTTTCTACTTGAGCCCTTCATATCAGCTCCTCATTTCCCCCCTCCCTCCCCCAAGCTCCCCCTCTCCCTTATGAACCCTTGATAATTTTTAAATGATTATTTTTTGTTGTTGAAACATTTCTGTTGGCATTCCATCAAATCCCTGGAGCCTTGTTTTTGGCTAATGCTTTCAGTGAAGCTTGGACAGATTCCATCAGTACCAGTGGTTCTTTATCATATGCTACTTCTTGAACATGGGTGAATGTTGACTCGTTTTTTTTAAAAATCATTTTATTGGGGGCTCTTACAACTCTTATAGTAATCCATACAATTGTTTCAAGCACATTTGTAATATGATGCCATCATAATTTCCAAACATTTTCTTTCTACTTGAGCCCTTGGTATCAGCTTCTCTTTTCCCCCTCCCACCCTGTAAACTATTGATAATTTATAAATTATTTTATTTTCATATTTTACACTGTCTGCTGTCTCCCATCACCCATGTTTCTGTTGTTCATCCCCCTTGGTTGAGGTGTGTGTGTTGCTGTACATTGATGATTGAGATTGATTTCCCCCTTTTCCCATTCTCCCCCCACCTTACACCTACCCTCAAGGTACTGCTACATAATTGGTCCTGAAGGGTTTATCTACCCTGGATTCTGTGTGTCAAGAGCTCTTCTCTGTACCAGTTACATGCTCTGGTCTAGCCAGGTTTGTAAGGTAGGACTGGGGTCAGGGTAATGGGAAGGAAGCATTGAAGAACTAGAGGAATGTGTGTCTCGTTGGTTCGACTAGTTCTTCTGGTACTGTGACTCCATCCATTCCATCTTCTTCTGATGCTTCCTGCACTGTTCAATATTTTGCCCATAGAATCTTACAATACTGAAACTCGAACCTTGGATTTCTCTTGACTTATTTCAGTTTAACATAATGTTAAGAGTGTTCTTCCTTTTTAGTTTTCTATCTCTGGCTTTGCACATTTCATTAAAATAATTTGTCTTCTTAAGGTACCCTTTGACATATTCTATTCAGTGCTTTGAAATAGTTGTTTCTTCCATGTGCCTTAGCTACTTTATGATGAAGAGAAAGCTTTCGTCTCTTCTGGCATCTACTTTGATCGTTTGCTTTCTTGCTGTTCCAAGACCTTTCTGTTCTTCCTGTGTGCTGTTCCTAATGTTATCCAACAACTCATCATCAGGCCTTGGTGTCTATTGTATCAAATCAATTTTTCTGTGTCCTCTAAATTCAGGTGGGATAGACTCAAAGGTCATATTTTGTCTCTTGTGTACTTGTTGTAATTTTCTTCAGCTTTACCTTGAATTTACATAGGAGCAATTGATGGTCTTTTTTATGCTTGGCCCCTGGTTTCATTTTAGCGGTTAATGTTCAGCTTCTCCGGTGCCTCATCTCAGATGTAGTCAATTTGATTTCTGTGTGTCTGTCTGAAGAAGTCCACGTGTACAGCCACCTTGCTTGTCGAAAAAAGCTACTTGCTATGAACAAGTCATTGGTTTTGCAAAATTCTGCCATGCCGTTTCCAGCGTCATGTATATCATCAAGGCCATATTTTCCAACTTCTGTTCCTTCCTCTTTGTTTCTAACGTTTGCATTCCAATCACAATTATTAAAGCACCTTGATTGTATG